TCTAAATTAAAACATCATTTATCATTCAATTAAATACAATTCAACCAATAGTAATCAAACTGCAAAATACAAATAGTCAAAATAAATAAAAAATGCATTTAATTTTGTCTTGAAAACTCAAAAAATCATATAATTTGATACAAAAACAAACATCTAATGTGATACAGAGACAGTATTAATATAATGCTAATATTTGAAAACAATTAATTTATATAATTAAAAAACAAATTTAAACCAATTGATAAGATACATGTGGATAAGAGGTATCTAATGGAGTCTCTAGAATCTCTTGTTTGTGATACGGTTCTTTACTCTCTCACCTCTTTTTATTTTTATTTTATTTGTTTAATGTATTGATACTCTCTTGAAGATCTGGGATAAAGATGGTATAAAAGACCTATATCTATCTAGGTCGCTAGGATATACAGGATCATTCCTGGTGAGTTTTTCCCAGTTTTAATCTTTTCTTATTAGAGTTTCTTTTTCATTTTTTTCTGATTTCTGTTTTCTTGTTTTTTGCCCTGTGAAATCAACAGGGAAAGTGTTTCCATGTCCAAGATCAAAGCCGAAGATATCGTGGAGGAAAGAATAGGTGGTTTTGTCGAGTGCCTAGGACTGAGATTATTCGAGAGTTTGGAGGAGCTAGTAAGTTATACTTTTCTAATGGTTAGCGACTTGATGTTTTGTTTTAATGAGTTTCATTATGTTTGATTTTCTCTCTGCCTATGTCAAAGTTTGTAACATGCATTATGGGATTTCAAAAGAGGACTGGTCTTATAGGTTTGAATGCGAGAAGACCTAACATTACCATTCGCACGGAACTACACTTATAGTAATCATCCCTCCTTTGGTTCAAACCAAGTGCACTGTTCATGCACGTTTATAGTAATTGTGTTTTGTTATTTGGATAGTGATTGAGTATGGCGATGAGCTGCCTGACAGTGATGACGAGGACTTCAGAGAAGCTTTGAGGATTGAGTCGGAACAATTAAGTGCTGAGCGTGCTAAACATCTTGCAAATATTACAGCACGCGATGCAGGTCTTGAGGAGGATTCTAC